TTTAGTGTAGTCACCTTCATTAGTAACCTCAGCTAGATCTTCTGGATAACATGTTGTGGCTTCTACATCAGCACTGTTGTTTCATCTTGAACTTATATGTTATGGAGATGGTTTATTACCTTACATCTCATGAGTAAACCTCTGCTAGTTTCCTACTTTCTTTTGTAGCTTCCACAAGCTTTTCAACTTTTATAGAATTGAAGAGAGTTAAGGTTTTGCCAGGATTAGGCTTACGCTTTAGGGAATGTTGTGACTGGTTTTCTCTTCGCTCTTCTGTCGAGATCATTAAAATGCTCTTCATATCAGCAACAGGTTTTTTTTTTTAATCATTCATGTGTTCATTGGAGTAACACTTTTCATTTCCTTTAAGAATTTTTCTTTGTATTCACAACTGGATAACTGAACCAAGAGACCTAGCTTTTGGTCTACCACATACCTTCCTTTAGATAACTTTCAATTTATCTTGAATACTTTCACTTGAACACTTAGAGACCACTGTGATGTTATCAATGGTGCCTAATTTCATTAATTTTGTGTCTCATGGAACAAGAAGGCCCCAGGAGGAAAGAGGAGAGGAAGGCAGGTGGATGAAGAAATCAACGCACACGACATGGATTGATGGAGCAATCAGAATATCTACAACTTATGGATTAAGTTTGCTATCTCATATGGGTATGGTTCCGTGGTCCCCCCAAACAGTACAATAATAACATCAAAGATGACTGATCATCGATCACTACCACAGTTATAATAATAATGAAAAAGCTTGAAATATTGAGAGAATTATGATAATGTGACACAGACATGAAGTGAGCACAGGCTGCTAGAAAAATGATGATGAGAGGCTTGCTCAACGCAGGGTTACCACAGACCCTCAATTTGTAAAAAGCAAGATCTGTGAAGCGCAGTAGAACTTGCAATGCCTGTACTGTTTGTTTTAAACTGCTTAATTTGTTATACAGCAACAGATAACTAATACAGTGCTGAAATATAATCTTTCTTCTTTATGCCTTAAGAGTCCAACACAGGACTAGGGGCAGAGAAAAACTGTATATGCAAAACTAATGCTAATTTAGTCTTTTATTTCTAGGCCACATAGTCAACTAAGCTAAATTTAAAAGACTTAGGTAAGGGAATACTTAAGTAAGTAATCATATATATGCGTATGTATGTGATTATATTGTGAGATGTGTGTGTGTGTGTATTCTTTGAATTAGAGGGGTTACTTTTGAGAAGAAAAATCATGAGATTTCCCTAGAATCAAGTCTCTTCTTTACAGAATAGTGGGAAGCTGCTATCCCCAGTTGAGATTTAAAGTTTCATTTATTATTCTTTTTTTTAAAGATTTATTTATTTCTGCATACAGAACTGGGGTACAGGCAAGAGGTATAGGGGTGGCGAGAGAGAGGCTTCACCAGAGACAGAGTGGGGAGCAGAACAGGCAGATCGATGATGTACACTGCTGAGGGGAGCAGCGGGCTGGTCAGGAGAGGTCTGCCACGCCATGTGGTCTCCCCAGGGCAGGCGGGGATCGAACTCATGCTGAAGTGGCTTTAGCTTCTCAGTGCTGTGCTTTAACCTGCTGCGCCACCAGGAAGGGCCACATTTATTATTCTTTTTAACTTAATGTGACTAGTTTAAAAAAATGTAATGTAGGATTTGATTTCCTTCCTAGTTCTTTTTGGGAATATTTGGAAACAAGAGAAAAATATATTTCTTTTAGCCTCTCTTTCTTTCTTTTTCTGTCTTATAATCAATTTCAGTAACTTTAACAATAAACAGTAAAAATGATAGAGTATACAAAGCATTGTGCAAGTGAATCCATCAAGGACATGTGACTGAGAATGGTTTCCTAAATAGGTGAAATGTGTTTCATACAAAAAGTCCATTTTCTGTTATTGCTTTTTTTTATTTGGACTACTAGGTGCTATATATTTTAAGGCAATCTTAATAGTTTCCTGTCTCTCACTAACAAGAATGACTTGTCATAACGAGCAGTACAGACACTGTCCATTTGATCCACTCCAGAAAGCTGTCTATTTGATACAAGAGTAAATCACTTCAATTTCTTTGTGGAATGAGTAGAGTATAAATAAATAAATGAGGCACAAGAAGAAAAAGTCTGGTCAGTTCTGTACGAAGGAAACAAAGGACATGAACATTTGGAGGTCTGGTTTAATAAAACATGTGACAAGACAAAGAATTATACTGTGATAAGTGTAAAGGGAGGATGAATCCTCACTAATATAAAATGTTCATGAAATAGATTCTACCTTCTTTGGGAAGACAATTTTGTAGTTTATTCTCTAAGTCCCAATGCTTTGAAGTTGGAGAACCCATGCTGTAAAATAACTTTTATTAGTTTTTTTTTCTCTACAGTAAGGAATTCTAATTTTCAGCACTATTTCTATAATTAACTCATCTAAACTTGAGGGGGAATTTCAGATTCCATTAAAGAATGGGTTTATTTTGGAGGTGTCTTTTTTCTTTTTATTTTGTATGTTTTACTTTAATTGTAAAGTGTAAAGTTTTTGTCTTAATTTGAGAAGCAGACATAGACACTTTCAAAAAGTTCTATTTTAAAAAACATTAGTAAAAAAAATTAGTGTTTGATATATTTCTTAGGGAATTATGCAAAAAATGCAGTGCAAATTTGCACTTGCCTAGTTAATGTTTTACCATTGCTGAGTTTTTTTTTTCTTTCTTTTTTTTGTATGAAATGGTAATAGAGTTATTTATGTCAGGTTTAGGGTTGCAGGTGGGGACAAAAGATAAGTTATGACAAATTTCCAGCCCTATAGGAGCAGGAAAGCAGTAAAGTTATTCTCAGTAGCAAGTATCATGCTATCTCACATCAAAACCACCTGGGGGCTTGACAGACTTAATCAGAATCTCTGGGGATGACTTGACAGTTGGCATTGTATTCAGTTATTTTTGTGGTTCCAAAGCAAACTGAATTTTAAAAATTTATTTTATTTTTTATACATCATTCTTCATTTTATGCATTTTTTCATCTTGCTTGTAATCCTCATGGACTTCCCACCACCAATTCATCCATATGCCATTACCATAGTCCTGTGCACTCTTCCCACCACAGTTTTTATCCTATTCCCCTCTCCATCCCCATAGAATGTCTCTGGTTTATAGTTATTGTTTTTTATTTTTACTTTTTTACAATTGCTATTTTTTCCCTGATCCCTTATGCTCCTGCTATGAGTGAAACCATCTGCTACTTTTCTTTCTCTTTCTGGCTTATTTCACTAAGCTTGATCCCTTCCAGCTCCATCCATGTTGCTCAAAAGGCATGCATTTATCTTTTTGATTGCTGAGTAATATTCCATTGTGTATGTGTACCACATCTTTTTAATCCATCATCTATTTTTGGGCATTTGGGTTGTTTCTGTGTCTTCCCTATTGTAAATAGAGCAGCAATAAACATGGGGGTGCAGGTGTCCTTTTGGATCAATGTTTTTGTGTCCTTTGGGTAGATGCCTAAGAGTGGGATTGCTGGGTCATATGAAAGCTCTATTTTTAGCAGTTTTAGAAACTTCCAAACAGCTTTCCATAATGGTTGTACCAGTTTGCATTCCCACCAGCAGTGCAGGAGAGTTTCTTTTTCTCCACATCCTTACCAACATTTGTTGTTGCTAGTTGTTTTAATATGTGCCATTCTCACTGGTGTGTGATGGTATCTCATTGTGGTTTTAATTTACATTTCCCTTATTACAAGGGATGTTGAACATTTTTTCCATATGCCTTTTAAAGCAAACTGAATTTTAAGGACCACTGATTTAGTGAGAGTTGAAGGGTAGAGGAATAAACAATTTACATTGCCATTGGAGTCACAATACACTAGTCAAAATAGGAAAGTAGCAAGTAGGGAGGGTTTTATCTTCCTACTTTCTATTTTGAGAACTACAGAGAGAGATACACAATTTTATCTTTTTTTTTTTTTTTAAAGTTTGCATAGAAGAACTGCATGGAAGGTGGGGACCGGGGAGTGAGAACTGGCAGATTTACTGAAATACTCTGTTAAGGGGAACAGCAGGTGTAGATTAGCTCCCTGGCTAGGGATCTAACTCAGGCTACAGCAGAAACAATGCTGAGATTTAACCTCTAGGCTACCAGGGAGGCCCAAACACATAATTTTAAAGGTGCATGGAGGTGTCTTTGGGTTTTAGAGTAAAACTATTAGAAGATTTACAGATAGAAGGCACTTAATAAGTATTTGTTGACTAAATGATCAGACTGTCATGAAGAGATTTTATCATTCCAATCCTTTAATCATCGCCAGCAGTTTTCTTTCTGGTGCTTTAGGATGGCTGTGTCTGTTTAGCTTTCTTCTTACTTTCTTTGCGTTCCTGTAATTCAAGTGGCTAGAACAGAATTAGAGGTAGAATCTGAAGTTGTGACTGAACTGTAACTCAGTAAGATTGTGGGGTAAATCAATTGCCCTCCCAAAACAGATTCGGTTGAAAAGCGATGCAAGAACCAATCAGAGCGCTCTCTGGAGCAGCTCCTGATTGACCATTCAAGAAGGACTGGCGGAAAAAAGGACTGATTGCCTTCATTCAAAGGGACAAAGAAGGCCATAATAGCTTACAGCGGTCGGAAATTCCTTTTGGGTTACTAAGTGAAGCGTTAAACCTTGGTAGTGCTGACCATTGGTCAGAAGGTCCTTTAATCGGAAAACGTGAAGGTACCACGAGTAGCTTATTTTCCAGAATCCTAGGGAGAGAGTCACCAATTGTTTTGGTTCCAGTATCCAAAATGGCAGCCTCGCGCTTCAGGCGCCGGATCAGGTGACGCAGTCCCAGTTCGCTCGCTTCCCACAAACTGCTCCTCCTCCCACTCCCTCACGCAGCAGTGGGCGTGGTCTCTCCAGAGGTTCTTTTCCGAGACTAGGGAAAACCGAGGGATACTCATGCGCAGTCGGGCCCCTCAGACCTCCTCCCCGCCCATCGTCCCGCCCCAATCTGCGGGAGGGGCAGGGCCGAGAGTCCAGCTGCTGCTGCCTGGGGCTTCAGTGACTTCCTCGTTGTCAGCCCCAGCCGGGCAGCGTTCGGAGTTGTAGCCCCGCTGTCCTTACTGGGACCGCTAGCCCGAGTCTAGGTAGCAGCCGCAACCCGGCGCGTCGGTTCCCCTTTGGTCACAGGTCCTTTCCCCGCACGCCCCGCGCTCCCTGACATGCCCAATCCCAGCTGCGCCTCCTCTCCCAACCCCCTCCCAGAGGAAATTAGGAACCTGTTGGCAGGTAAAGAGCGGGAAGGGGGCGGGCAGGGCTGCCGGGGCGTAGGCGGGGGCGAGGGGACGGCGAGCCGGCGGGGACAGAAGCATTCAGAGACATTGCCTTCCCTCCCCGCGCGCCCCAAGTCGCCAGTCTTTGGAGGGCGGGACCGTGAGCGGGAAGAGGGGAATTGGAGCTGTGAAAAGAAGTGGGCGTGTGTTGAAATTTGGTGCCGGGATGGTGGGGAAGCCCTTTTTGATGCGCTCTACACTGATGGGATCTGGACAGTTGTGATTCGCGCGCGGGCGCGCGCGCGCGTGTGTGTGTGTCTGCGAGAGACACACGAGGGAAGGTAATAAATGTATGTGTGAAAACTAGGGAGGGAATCAGGAGTGAAAGAAATACTTTGGTTTTTTTCATGACTCAGCCAATGGAGGGAATGGGTGTAGAGATGCCAAGAGATGTCCTGAGCTACAGGTGTTAGATGTTAGGGTTATGGGATTGAGATCATTTCTAAACTCTTTTGGACGTTCAGGCCACTTAATATGTAAGGAGTTCCGAGGGCCTGATTCTCAAAGTCACTTGTCTTCAGCCCGAGTAACCTTAAAAAAAGGGAAGGATGTGTTCAAGTCTAACTTCCTGTGCCACAAGATGAAAAGTACTTCTTTTTTTGCACTCTCATCTTCCTTTTTTTTTTTCAGCTTTCACTTGCCATTTATGGGAACTTATTTTAGAAGTTGAAGATGCGGTTTTTTTAGGTTACTGTGAACCCACTGTTAGTTCATGATTGTACTGGATAGAGGTATTTCCAGAAAGGGCCAATGAAAAATTTATATTTCTGCACAGCTAGGACACTTGTATTCTCAAGGTAGGGCAAATCTTACCTAGCCTGATGATCTAGAACTCCAACCATCATTCAGTATGTCATACATATGTCAGAATTCTGGAAATTGAATTTTTATGGTTTTACTTCAGTTGTCTTTCAAGTTTCTTTTGACACTGCTCATTAATAACTGGATTAAAAGCATTGCCTTAGATACCTGTCTTACAAGTTGATTATTTTAATTCTTATACAGCAATTTCTAAAACATCATACTTTAAATAGTGAGTTACTGTGATGGCAGTGTGAGAGCAAATCTCCTTATAGACTTATACAATCTTGGTGGTTAGCATCATGAATATGATAGAAAATATAATCAATATGTATGAGTGCAGATGGTTACAATATGATAAGTACAATGCTTGTTGCCATTAATGGCTACCTCTAAGGGAAATGTTCACAGAAATGTAAAGACTGATTTAAGGTGGCTTTTATTCCATTATGTGAGAGTTTCACATGAACACTGATTTTTTTTTACTACAGGTAACATTTTGTGCTGGAATTGCTTGTTTAGAATATTAATAACCATATCAGAAATGAGTTTCTTTACTCCAAAAATTGGTGTCATCATTTTCAGGACATTCTATGTCTGAGTTTTTGGATTTAAAAAATAAAAGACAGATCTGAATACATGTTTTTAAAGCTTGACAGCTTGTGTTTTAGATCTGTAAGCATACATCCCAGATAGTGTGATATGTAAGTTATTCTCTGGTCCTCTTTGATTACAAGTATTTCAGGTGACCATTCTTCAATTTAGCTGAAAGGGGTATATGATATTTAAATTAGCTACCCTTGCTAACTTCTGTATACTTCTGTCATTTCTCTATTTATTCATTTAAAATACTAGCATACTGTCTGAAATCAGCATTTTAAAAGTCATCTTTATTGCTATTTCAAATTGAAGCCAATCATAAGGTGTATTAAAAATATTTAAACATTAAAATTTTAGGATTTAAAATTCGACTTAGACTTTTTCTTCAGAAAATACTTTCAGCAGATATGATATGAAAAAAATACATTCCATTCTTTAGAGAATGGAAACAATCGAACAAGTGTTTTTCAGGTTTTTTTTAATCATTCAAAGAAGTTTATTAACATTTTAAGTTTGACTAAACTTCAAGAGTAAGTGCTCCCATGGTTTTTTCATGCAAAAAAATTCTTTTGGGGTTGTGCATGATTTGCATAATTCAGGTGTGTTGGTAATAATACATAGTTTGATTTAAAATTACTAAAACTACAAAAGAAGATTTGGTATATGTTTTAATTTTGGAGATATTGGTGGTTTATCTTATACTCTATTTGAAACTGACGTGAAATATTAGTCATTGGGGTTGTAGTTAATAGTTAAGTGAGTGACATTCCAAGGAAGAAAAGATAAAGAACTAAATAAAACTTTTCAGACTTTTAAAATCTCTTTCCTTCAGAAAAAAAAAAAGATCACATATTGACAAGAGATAATGCCTATCAAAATAATGTTACTTGGATATTCCCCTTTGTGTTCCATATGGCTATTATTAAATCATTACATGTCATATGTGGTATTTGACATTTCAACTGATTGGGGTAGATGCTCTGATAGATATATTCCTTTCAATAGTATTTTTCTTTTTCTTTCGTATTGTAGCAGTTTTAGGCTTTTCTTTCAGTATTTGTTCCTTCTCCATCTCATTCTTTTCCTTCAAAAATTCTATAGAAATGCAAAAACCCATAGAGGCTAGCGTTTTAAACTCATATTTAATGATTCTGTCAAAAAAGTGGTTATGTGCCTTGTGAGCATTGTACATTCCTCTAGAATCAGATGTTAGATCTTGAAAGTGTGTATTTTTCATAGAAGTGTTGAGTTTTTCTGATGTTTAATGGATAGAAAAGGCTTACAGATTTTGTTGTTAAAAGCAAATTTTGAACAGCCATAGACACTAGTCAATCACTGATTATTTTTTTCATAACAATGAAAGAATAGGTTTGGGCTGGATAATTAGAATCAAGCATAATACCAAATTGAGTCCATTTTATCTTCTTCCACATCCAAATATTTTGACTGGGACTAACAGCAAGAATAATCTTGATTAATGTGAGTTTTTCCTTCAGGCAAAGAAAGTGAGAGGAACTAAATCCAGTGTTGTCCCATCCCCCTTCATTTGGTTAATCACCCTTTGACTACCAAGGCATTTGTGTTTTACATCGGATATTCTCACTCATTAATGCTTTAGAACAATACATTTAGAAAGGAAAACTAAAGGGAAGTTGCTTTCTTTTTACTCAACAGAAAACAATGTTAAAAGAAGATAGTGATTGTTGTTGCTCTGAAAAGTCAAAATCGAACCAACATTAAACAAAATGGCTATATGGTTTCTGCACAGTGATGTAGAAAATTTGTTCACGGTGCAGTCTTGATTAGAAATAGTACATTTTCTCTTTTTGGAGATTTCCAGAACTTTCTTTTAAACCATCACACATTATAATTGATAATCCTTTCAGAGGCACAACAGTATAATTCAGTTGAAGTAAACACAGAATTTTTCAAAACTGACAATAGTGTGGTTTGATTTCCACCTTTTTAAAGTTTCATGTATAATTTGATAAACATTTTGATTTTATTTTTCCTATGGAAATTATTTATGATGTATCTTGTGTCCCATAACTTTCTTCTGGGGAGTCTGAGTCTGTAAAGGGAAGAGTGCCACCTACTGAGTCACCAATAGTCACCTACTTCATTCAGCACCTGGATTTTCCTGTAGAGCAAAGGCAAGCCTGCCCCATTTTGTCAGTAATAACTAGTGATATTGAGAACATTTGATCTCACAATGAAATGAGTAGATGGCATCTCAAAGTTTTTTCTTGTAAAAAAGGAATACGTGTTTATAAATCAAGGGACCAGAAATTTATAGTTTCTTGTGTGGGTCAAATAATATAATTGAATTAGGATGTGATGTTTAGGAAAATTGTTTGCCTATCTTAAGCCTGTAATATCTTTCTTTTTCTTAGGAGGGATTCTTTGGTTTGTTTTCTACATGGCTTTCTATTGAAAGTATTCTCATCTCAGTAAATAAATAAGTTGCTTAATAGTTGCACGGGTTTTATTGTTGCTCAATCCAAATACCACTGGTTGTCTTTTAAAAGAGGAATCCACGTATACTGAAAAATGAGGCATATATAAAATTTTTCCAAATGGGTTTATCTCTATGTTATCAGCACTAAAGTATTAACTAGAAAGAAGAGAGAAACTCCTACAGAATAGGAAAAGCCCCTGGTGATTTGAAACACAGTTCAGTTGTCTCTCATAAATTTAAGATTAAGTGTCATATATGGGTGATAAAAGTGGCATAGGCTAGTTTTTATATACTCATTATTCACTTAGTTTGTCTTTTTCAATTAAAGCCAAGTCTATCTTTTTCATTCCACTGAGTTTACATTTCTTTTTCAATCACATTCTGAACACATTACAATAGATGCTGCCTAACAGTAAATATAGTGTAAATCTCAGACTAATGTGTGATTCACTATGGCTTCTTTGAAAATGCATGGTAAAAAGATTTTGATTATTATAAGGTGCTATTTATCAAGAGTCGTCTTTTAGAGGTGAAAGATATTCATCCCCGTAAGTTAACAGCCCAGTTTTCTATCAAAATAAATCATTTAACCTCCAAAGCCAATTCTGAGAATTTTGGCAGATGATTTGATTGTAACATGCAGATATGTTTTACCCACTGTATTACAAGAACTCCTTGTGCCTGTTCACATCTCTTCTTCCATGTTCAAAAAGTCCAGAGTTCATAACCTGTCAAAGTGCTAGGTAATCAAGAGAAAGACATTGATGAGAGCAGTCAATAACGTTTCAATTAGCCATTTTCCAACTTTGGGCATTTGACTCCATTGATCTACATGTTTAATTGATTTTTATGTTTTTAACAGTAGGTCTTTGGTCAGACCCATACCTTTCGAACAGAGAAGGAAAGTTGTCTTTTCTGATGCCAGCTTAAATTCTAGGCTGGGATTTTTAGCACATTAAGTGAATCCAAAATGAAATCTGTATTTCATCCAAAATGAAATCTGGCCAGTTCATAAAATAGAGGAAGATGTAGAATTAAATAGCACAGACATTTGGGGTAAGGTGTGCTTGCTTTTACACTTTTATTGATCTGGGACTGAGCAAATGGTAGTGTATTCATTAGGAATCCTTCCCCCACCATAACATAGTGTCTGTCTGTCTGACAGCATCGCTCTGTCTCTGTTTCTGTCTCTTTCTCTTTCTCTGCATGCTGGCAGAGGTACTTGGAGGTATTAAGTAGTTGGGGGAGAAGGCAGAAGACACCAGGTGTTACCTTTGTGACTTGTTTACAACCTCCAGCTGCAAGTCATATTCTAGGCTGTTTGCTGGTGGAGGATGTTGAGGGCAAGTGGCTCTCTTCAAGAGTAGGAATCTGCTTCAAGAAGCTGACAGCTTATTTTATCATGTGCAATTATTTAAAACAACTGTTCTATTAACCTTGTGAAGTTTCACCTTTTGCTTTGTGATCCACATGGGAGTTGGTAGAAACATTAGCCTTGTGTGTACAAGTGTGTTAAATACCTGTTCTAGCCATGGGACTCTAAGACAAGGCAGCAGTGTTTCTAGGGTGTCCTTCTGCACAGAAAAAGGGAAGATTGGAGTACAATTCAGGGAATTGTTTGCTGCGTTGGGATTCTGATGGCTGTTGAAAGGTTTCTAACTTAAGCTGCTTGAGGATTTCAGAGGCAACATATATTGTCATCTTTTAAATTTGTTCAGATCTTGACATTTATTTACAGAACAATTGTAAATTTGATATTTTCAGCCTCCCTCTTCCCCAGATCTTTACATTTGTGCCAGAGATAAGGTGTAATAGGGCAAAAAACACAAAAACACCCCTACATTCACATTAGTTGGGATAACTTTTTTTCCCTCAGCGACAACTTTGGGGTAGAAAACTGTGGAGATGGGGCTGTTGGGGGTTAAATGCCGGTAGTACCGACCAGCAGGCTACCTGCCTGCGGGTGGGGCTGGGGGCTGGAGGTTACACCTTGTGCGTTGAGGGCAGCTTAGAACTGCGCTTTCTGAGCACCGCCAGGTGGACAACCCCACCCCCAAGATTCTTTTTTTCCGTGGCTAATGCTCCAGTTAGTGGGGACCCCTCCTCTTTTGAGGAAGCGGGAATTAAACCAGGCCAAGAGGCGAACGAGGAGGCAGGCTGACGTTTTCTTGTAATCGGATTACGGCTGTTCCCGAATTACAGGCAGTCTGGAATAGTGAAATCTACATACTAACTGAGGGACACGACCCCTCAAGGAAGGTGGATGAGTGCTAACGCATGCCTGCTTACCGTTTGCGGGGCTATTCAGAGCACAATAAAAAGCATCAAATCTCTTTTCGAACCAGTCAGAAGAGCGCTTGATTCGCCCAGGACTTTTATTGCAAGCTTTTGAAATATTACCCTGGCTCTGGGCTACAAAGCACAGCTCCGGCCCCATTTGTCTGGCGAGGGCGCTGCCCTAAACCCAGCGCTTGCTGCTCACAGCTCCGAGCACAGGAACCCTGGGGTTTAACACTCCGACTGTAGAGTGTCGTATGTCGAATGTCTCGGAGGGCCAAGCCGCAGCATCTCTCAGTAAAGCCAGGAACTTTTCAGTGCGCTCTGCCTGTGTGCTGGGTTCGTGCTTTGCGCTGGGACTTGCCGAAGGCCGCTGGCAAGCTCAGAGGGGTTACAGTACCTGAGTCTGGCGGGTTTCGTTCCATTAGAAAATAAACCGCACAGCGTGGAATTTAAGAAATAACCCAAACTCAAAAGCTGAAAACCAGCGGTGTTTGTAGCACTGATAACCTAAGGTTATTACAAGGACTGTTTCCATTTTAAAGTTCTTATTAGTTAAAACAACATACCACCAGCCAGGCAGTTCCTAGAATGTCCACATCTCCTTTGAGATATAAATTTTAAAGCACTAATTTTTATTAAATCTTTCTGGGAGTTTAGGAATGAGGACATTAAAAAGGCTAGAGATACCTTTTTTCCTTGCTTAATCCCTGAATTCCCCTCTAAGACAAATAGCAACGCATTCTCACATTTTTACAAGTATTTTCTCATAAAGTGGTAATATGGGTCAATATTTTGAAATATTTTTTAAGTGTTAGGAAGCACTATAAAGAACACGGCACCTTTTTATGTTTTCTGAGTTTTTATAGAACTAAATGACCTTTTAAAGAAATAACTCTTTGGCTGTAATTCGTTCAGTTATTGCTTCCGGAGATAGAAAATAGATCCCGTTTGTTTAAACCTGGATTGTGTAATGAAAATGTAAAATAGGCAATTAAATACTCGAGGATGAGGGAATTAAAGACAAACACTGAGTGAAAGTAACATTAAGCAGACTATTCACCACTCATTGTGCCAGTGACTCGCCTAAGTATTGAGTCCGTTTGTAAGAAAGAATCAGCAACAGAAATGTTGCGCTTCCCCTTGTCCTTCTTTATTCCCCTTTCTTAGTGGATTTATTGTAATTATCTAAGAGAAGCCAATGGCTTTTTCCATTTCAGCTAAAGCTCAATGTCCAAAGATTGCTTGCTCCTCTGGGTACAAAATTTAAAGACTTTAGAGAAGAGCAATTTTGTGTTTCATTATTTTGAACTTATTTTAGAAGTCTGGACCTAATTTGCTCTGGAACTGGATTATGTCTATATGGACAGCTCAAGGAAAGAGAAGCTGTGACTTTTTCATACTTTAAATGGATTTCCAATCAGAAAGCTATTAAAATATTCAAAGATTAAATTTTAATTCTTTTACTTGTCATGTCGATGCAGTGAAAAAGTACATTTATATTTTTATTATGAGTGTACAGAATAATAGCTTAATCAACTTTGTTCATGGGCTCAAGATACTTTTGTAATCAAGAATTTAAAATCGATTACAATGTTCTGTCTCAAATACTAAGCTTTAAATTGTTAATTGTAAGTATGGTTGAAAGACTATTAATCATACTGCTTTGAATTAATTACATGTACTATTATTGTATGTTTTGGTACCATGTTTTTCTCAGTGTGAGTTTGGAGACAAAGTAGTGAAATAAAAAGACAGTAAAGCATACACATCTCTTCAATGTGAAATATGGATGGTTTATAGCCACCCTTACTTTAGATATTTTTGTGGCAGCCTCTGTAGTAGATACCTCAAAGTGAGCTTTAAATTCTGAAAAGAAAATTAATTTAAAGTTGTGCAATATTTTCATAAACAGTAAGAATTGGGCTATTATAAATTCAAACCAGTAAGGATTGTTAGAATTATACTAGAGAAGACTAGAAAGTAGAATAATTTAGAAATTTACTGAAATTTTTAAAAAGAAGCTTTGTGAAAATGTTATATAAGGCTATAGAAAGCTTCTCTCTTGGTTACTCTATTTTAAAGTAGTGGATTAATTACTTTTTTGCGACTTCTTCCTTTGAAGAGATATTTCCAGGTGGCAAAGCTAAGGCAGAAAGCAAGGTCACACCAAACCACATAAATGCTTATCTTTTAAATTTGTGGGTGACTGGCCAGAATGGGTGGGGCAGGTAGGAAGGAGGAAGGTTTGATTTGGGAATCTTGGCCACAAAGAAAAAATAAATATTTTTTCTGTAAAGCATTAAATGTTGCCTATATCTGAAAATGAATTGCACTGGGAAAAACAGGATCTTGCCAGAGACATTATCTTATATTGATATAATACTGTGAATGACCTGTTCATACAGGGACCTAAAGAATACTGTAAAATGATAGTAACACTTGCATAAAAGCTCTGCACTTGCTTTTATGTTAGAGAATTTGTTTTATGGGACACCATAGTTTATTAAAACTTGTGTGCTTCTTCCTGGTTTAATGATGCCAAACATCCAAATAGCATTTGCTGTGCTAAGCATAAGTAGAGCATACAAATTTTATTAGCTAAGTGGAGAACAGATTTGTCCAACTTAGTATTTGAAACATACTTCAACTGTTATGCTTTGGATTGATAAATAACTATAACAAATTGTACAGATATTAACACTTATGGGTAGAAACAATCATTGTCCTATTTATCTTTAAAAAAATTATTCTTTCCAGTAATTTGTATCCTTTTCCTTATATTTCATGGTTTAGATGTTGAAACATTTGTAGCAGACACACTGAAGGGAGAGAATTTATCGAAGAAGGCAAAGGAAAAGAGAGAATCCCTTATTAAGAAGATAAAAGATGTAAAGTCTGTGTAAGTCACTTAGTTGCCTTTTATTATTAATTTCTTACTTAAAAGCAACTTTGTAATTAACATTTTAATAAAGAATTAATTATTTTAGAATTAGTACATGTTCTAATTTAAGTGGTGTTCAGTATTTTTAAAGGCCAAAATATATTTCCTCTGTGATAGGCTTTTGGGATAGACATACTTATTATAATATTCTTTTTGGGGTAGGGTTTTTGATTATGTGTTTTTTCTAAGTGTCCTGGCAAAAATCTAACTGATTATCTAAAGATATGTTTGGTTTAAGTGATAAGATATAGGTAGGTTGAGAATTTTAATATAAATATGGAAAATACCTTACATACTGAAATAGAGAACCCTTTTGTTACTGTTTAAGTGATTAAATGTAATATAAATTGTTGGTATCAAAAATAGCTCCTGATTTTACTACTGTAACTTAGGTCTTTAGAAATACTTTTATTATAAATCCATAAACCTTTTGGAATTATTATTTTAGGATAGAAAATATTTTTTCTCTAAATATTTATGAGTGATTTAAAAATAAATAATTTTATCACTGGTTAAACATTGTTTTGATTTGTCAACCCTCTTTTTGCTTTCTTTTGCAGCTATTTTCAGGAATTTCAAGACAAAGGTAAATTTTTAAATTGGCAACTTGAATTTTGTTTTCCTTGTGGAGATTTTCAAAAGGATAATCAGACATATTGAAATTTGATAGTTGGAATCGCAATTTAAATTTCTGTGTTGTATACTTTCAAGATGAGAGTGCTAGCTCCCCCTGCTGAGAAAAAAAAAATTAAAAAGCACATCCAGAACCTACTCTGCACTGTCTTTTACTGGAGAAATCTATGTATACAACTTTCTTAAGTTTTGTGTGTCTTAGAGCACATTGGCGCAGAAATTCGTTAAGAAAGGTTACACGTGGAATAGTTTAGTGAAAGAGAGTGGAGACTTTCCAGGGGTGCTGGGAGCAGGAGAGCCTATGGCTAGAGGCTCATAGGGAATGTTTCTAATTGTTTTAAAAACAGCATAAAATTTTGTTGGAGAACATGAGTGAAATCTTACGCAGAATTTGTTTATATTAAGCTTGTGATGCTTTTGATTTGAGTAAATACGTGCCATAGAAATTTTCATTTTATGGAAATAGATTTGGAAATCTCCTTAGATTTTAGAGACAGCTGCTTAGCACACTGAACACCAACTCAGGAAAGGCATAGGAAGTTCTGCTATTTCAGGTCTCCAGTTCTGTAAGGGAAACTGGGTACTGTCCTTACTTCCATGCCGCTAATTCATAGGTCATGACCTGGAGCCTGTGGGTGCTGGCATGAGGGTCATAACATGAGGTCAGTTAACCTATGTGGAGCTAGGCTGTAGGTTTGAGGGAGAAACAGTATGGTATCTTCTAACTAGGGTTAGCAGATACCACAGAGTAATTTATATCTCTGCCAACTGATAAGTGAGAGAGTAATGACAGTTTCAATAAACGAAGTACTTAACCAGACAAACCTAAAATCAAACAGTTAAAGGAAACCACAGTCTCTTTTACATTAAATCAACATCATTGTGATTAGAGACAAAAGATTTTTTTCCACATTAATTTTTTTAATACTATTAACTAAAGAGAAGAATAGAAAATTCCCCCTCAAGTGCCCATTTCTTTGTAGTCTACAGTGACCCCTAAGCTATGGCTTGAATCATGTTGCATTTTGTGTAGCTGAATGTAGATATAATGAAGTTATGCATTTTAATTATGATAACTTTTCTATCTATAACACAGTATTACAGCTCAGATTCTGCCTTTCTTAAATGGCACTTTCTGGTGATTGTTTATTGATCTCTCATTGTGATTTAATTTTTTGTTCTTTAAAACATTCTAAGTGAAGAAAACTTAATATGAAATCTTCATATAATTGCATATAATTCAGTAATAGGAATTTTCCCTTTGGTACTCAGTTTAGGATTTGTTCAGGTGTGTGAATATTAAAACTACATTACTGAGATACAGTCTTTGTCTCTAAAGAGACATGGAAGTTTAGATAGTATTTGATAGAAAAATAAGCCTAGAATAAGAGTTCAAATAACAGAATTCAGGGATTCCCCATAATCATTTTCCTCTGAATAAGTCATTTGTAGTTCAATACTGCTGTATTGAGTTAACTAATCATCAAGAGTGCCTGCTCAAAAGTAAGCCTGTGGATAAATTAGATGTGTACCTTGGAGAAATATGAGAAGCTGAGTAATTTTATGCCACTGTAACCATAAAGCAGAGTCCGCTTTGTTCTAAAAGGATTGTTCCTACAGTTTGTTAGAAATAGTACGGGGAAGTTACTCAGACCTAATCATTACAAAGTAATTATTTATGCTGTATCTTTTTGTAAAATGGGAAATTGAAAATTATCATTTATTTTGAGTAAATCATGTAAATTTGTTTTGATAGTATTGCTTTTTCTTTTTTCCTTAAAATTTTCTCTCATGGGTTTGGATTACCTTCATCCAAGGAGACCTGGGCAGAATTCCTTTTACTTGTTTTTCTATTTGCATTCTCTCTCTCTCTCTCTCTCTCTCTCACAATATGGGGTCACAGTGAAGTGAACAGAAGTTTTTTCTCTTCTTTTTCCCTTTAAATTCCTATTTGACACACTTTTTAAAAGTGGCAGTAAGTGCCAGTTTAAAATCTTTACTGGGAGAAAAAGGACTAGGTAGAGAGTTCTTAAATAAGTGAAATAATTCAGATTTAATTATTTCTAATAAGTGAGTTGTTAGTTTCTCCCACATACACAGATGTCTCTCATATTTTCCTCCTTCTCTCCTGCATCCTTCCCCTATGCTGTAGATATTACTTCCCCATCCTGGCATACAGAATATCCAGTCTCAGGTATTTCAGGTTTTAAAATTATTACAACTGGTAAATTGATAAAACAATTAAGCTTCACAGATCTTAGAAGATCCCATTTTTGATGAGAATAGTCTGCATTGGTAGAAATTTATTGAACTTATTCTATCTAGATATCGAAGAGTGTCCATTAATTGAATTTTATACTTAGTATTTGTATTCACTTCCATAGCAAGCTGTTATCTTAAAACTTCCCTTTTTACTTTTTTAAATTATTAAGATCCTCATTTTATCTCTTCTTATATTCAAGTGTAAATTGTCTATTGAAAAGTACAAATTGCACAATTAGAATATATTACCAGTTGGTTTCCCAATTCCTTAATTTTGCTTTGTACATAAGAAAAATTTGAATCTAAGCTACCAGGACCCATTTTCCATAGTCCAATCCATGTTATTTAATTTGAAATATTGTCCTTTCTACTTAGCATAGTGTTCCTTCTTATAGCCTTCAATTCTTACATGTGCTCAGATAACTTTCTTCCCTTATTTTCCTTTTCCTAGTTGTAGCATAGCCTAGTGCTATAAAATGTACTGCAAAATATAGCCTTTATGAACTTGATTTATGCTCAGTTAGAATTATTTTAAAATAGAATTTTGATTTTCAAATTTGCTTTCATTATGTAGGTCTCATAAAACCATAGGTCTCATAAAAGTGATTTGAAATAATTATATTTGAAATGAAAGTTATTACTAGTTTAGTAAAGACTGTTGACTGAGTATAAAGTAGAATTTTCTAATACATGTTAGGTACATAATAAAGTTTTATTTGTACTTGTGTTCTGCTGTTATAGTAGTTTTGTTTTACTTCAGTGATGATTTCAGTATGATTGCTTTCTTTATATAATGATTAAAATGTGAGCCTACCTGAGCATGCCACATAATAGACATTGAATAAATATTCTATTAATGTGTATTCTCAGATTCAGCTTTACTTATCTAGAGAACTTAGGTAAATATTGATTTGCAGTTCAGTTTTAACATAATTTTGAGGAACTTGCATTATTCAAAGGACACACATTAATATTAGAAAATATTTCAAGAAATTATTTTTCAAGCTTTTTTCTAGTGTTTATAGCTTAAAAAATGCAGTTATATTGCTTTCAATCCCCTTTAGATGCCATAGCTTAAAAGTTTTCATTTCCCTATTTAAAATATTTTTCTCCTAATTGTAAAATAATCTAAAGATTTTGTCCTTAAGATTCCATTGCCATTATTAAATATGCATAGATCTACTTAGCAGACTTGATAGTCTCATTTGTAAGTAAACTACTTTTAAAAATAGGAAACTGTTAACTTAAAAAGGGGTCCACTTTAGTTCATAGTAATAGAATCCTAAAAACAGCAGAAAAGTTAGAAGTTCGAATGACATTTAATTTCCTTTTGTTTACCCTTCCTAACATAGTACATGTCCTCTTGAAAGTTATCTCCCCAGTGAAATCTGAACAACTTACTTGAAACTTCCTTCACCCCTATGGCCTTATACAAATATATTAATTGAGATTATGGGGCTTAACACTTAGTAGAAGCATATTTTAGAGGTTCTGCTTGAGAATTGGTGTCTTTATTTTAAAGATTTCTTTACTATCTGTGTGCTATAAATTAGCCCTACTGTCATGGAAGATTTATGAAGAGAATTTTGTTTGTGGTGACCTAAGTCAGTTTTAAGAATTCGCTATAGACCCCCTTAGAAATGATAAGTTAAATGCTCAATTCTCTTTAGTGTATATTATTGCTTGGGAAATTAGTTTGGATATTTGAACAGAGTAGAGAATTTGAAAATAATTTGTTTTCACTCAGTCTTCTATGTGTTTCATTCTCTGTGAGAAGGAATGGTTTTCATTTAAATTTAAGGTATGTTATTTAATTTAATGTCTACCTGATTGTGTTTAAAATAGGACCATATTTGGTAAAATAAGCAGTAAATTGGTTAAATTACCCACTGTGGTGGTAGAGATCATGTCCAATTGTTGGTGGGCTTCATCTCTAGGCATTTAGGAAAATGTTAATTGATGATGAACCATATAAGAAAGAGGGGGTAATTGTGATTTGAACCCAGCCAACTGTTATAAATTTAAAAATGGTTTTCAGAAAACTATGCTACTGTGGTAAGATTCAGCCTTGATTTTGCTGTGATATTTAAGTTGCCACTGAAATTATAGGAAGGGAAGTCTTGGCTCATTGTCTTTTAGACTGTTAACTTTGTATCGTTAATTAAACTTTTGAAAGTTGTGGGATAAATCAAATGCTTTTCTAGGGAAACAAGAAACAGTATTAATGAGCAACAACCCCGTAATTATCCTTGTGAGTACATAACAGGGACACATTCATGTCTTTTCTTTGTGCAATAACTTTTACAAAGAAGTATTTTTAAACTGATCATTAATTTTATGACCACAGAAATGAGATGCAAAATTTATGCTGTTGTCATTGGCACAGGCTCAAGGCACCACTGACATTATGTGTGATTGTAATAGAATGGCTGCCAACTAATGATTCTGTAGACATTTCATTTGAGCATGCTTTTCTCTTAGATGTCTGATTAGGCTGTAATGCTTTCAATTATGTCTGTAAATTGTATTGGATACGTTTACCTGATGCCCATTGTTGATTTGGAGTTCAGTTTTCTATTACATAAACACAAGTTGAACATTTTCCTTTTCATTTATTGAAGGCTTTGCAGGTATAACTGCAAATACTCAAGTCTCTGGGGAGGAAAATGCTTTGTACTACTCAACAGCGACCCCTGTGTTCGATTTAAATTCCTTGTCATATAGTCACTTTATTGGGGTTGAATAAAAAATAGAGTGAAAAGAGTTGGATAATCCCCAGAACAACAGAACAATGAAGAAGACTATTTAAAAAATAATGCATCCTTTCAACTAAATACCGATTCAAAGGGGATAGTCCTATGTAGAGGCCACAGAGATTCTTATTCTTTATTTTCTAAGTTAAAGGGAAACAAAAATTGGGAAGAAATGAGGTCAGTATCAGTACTTAATTAATATTTTGTCTCAGATGTATATATATATGTATATGTATATATGTATCTATATATCACATTGATTTTCTTAAACCAACATTTGAAATGAACTGCTGTTCTTAAAGTGTAAAAGTTGAGTATAGCTTCATTTTCATATGTAATCCATATTTTTTTAAAGGCAAAAGCCACAGAAGTCTTTGACATATTAGTAACCAGTTTGTATAGAATATTCTTTTTTTTTTAAAAAAAGCTTTATTTATTTATGGATACGGAACTGGGGTACAGGCCAGAGGTGCAGGGACAGTGAGAGGATTCACCACACACAGAGCCGGGAGCAGAACAGGCAGATCGACGAAGTACACTGCTGAGGGGAGCAGCGGGCCAGTCAGGAGAGGTCTGCCGGGCCATGTGGATCTCTTCCGGGGCAGGTGGGGATTGAACTCATGCGGAAGTGGCTTTAGCTTCTGAGTGCTGTGCTGTAATCCGCTGCGCCACCAGGGAGGACCCCTGTATAGAATATTCTTAACTCCTACTTATATTGAATTTGTAGCTTTAAAAATGACTTTTTGGTTGAATGTATATATATATGTAAATGTAGATTGGTGTGTGCCTGTGTGTATGTATGTGTATATACAAGGATAGACACAGAAAATGTGTAATGGGTATTACCAAAGGACTATAAACTCATTCTTATTTTCAAAAGTTATTTTTTTTTCTATTTCCACAGAGTTTAATAGATTTAAGTCTGAGCATCTAGCAACAAGCAACTAGGAGCAACTGAGAGTTTTAAATTTTTACTATTATATGGTCTATCATTCCATATTCAAACATAATTTTGCTAGCACTTTTTGAGGCTCTCTCTTACCTCATACTTGAAATTGGAGCTCTCTTCTCTCCATAAGGGAATCACTGAATGTTCTGAAAGTATCTTGAATATCTCCCAAGAACCAGAAATAAGAAAAATGAATAGTATTTGTTTGTATTCCATAGCATTTCAAGGGATGAAAACATCACCTTATATAGTGCCCTTAGTGGTAGAATCACTAAGGATAATATGATAGTTATCACTTTTCTGTTCTTATTGTCCTAATGGGAAATGTCACTCTTATATTTCAGGCTAAGCACAACCAGTGCTGATGAAATAGCAGGACTGTAGGGAAATAGAGATGAACATTGACATTTTTAATTATACTGACAGAACTGTCTTGAAACAGGTTATTTCCTCTACTAAAAAATATGGTGAAGAAAAAAAACAAAGGTATTGCCCATCAAATGCTGTCAGCAGATATAGATATCCTTTTGGAGAAAATCTACTTAGGAATTATGGCCTAAAAGAAATAATGTTAGTATTTTAGGGCTTCTATGGAAATTTTCATCATGATTTTTGGGCAGTCCCTGAAGTGGTTGGTTTTCTTTTGGATTATTAACAGGTAATTTGAATTAAATTCCAGTTAGAAAATTGATATAGTGTTAAGCCTACTTTTTTCCTTGTTGTTGAGTCTGGGTGAAAAAAGGGTGTTTATCAATAACCAGAAGTGCAAATATTTGATTCACTTTAAATTCAAATGAATATATGGAAAAAGACCAAAATCCATAAAATTTTATTGTGAGAATTAGATGACTTCAGCTCAAACAAACAACCAGTGTAGTATTTGGAAATGCTGGCTAGGACATTTGAAAGAAAAGAAAAGTAACATTGCTGATTGAAAATTGGAAGTATTTAGTTTGTACATCACCTTGTTTCAATGAAACAGATTTTTATGAGTTTAAAGCAGTTTTTTCCCCATAATGGACTGCTTCTGAAAATGCAGCTGAGTATTTTTAATCTACTCTAATGTAATTCTGCGATCTTTAATGAAAATATTAAATGTTCATCTCACTTTGAATTACATATAATCTCACCATAATTTTTCATATTATTGAGTAGGTACATGGCATTATCTTGAATCATTATCTTTGTTGTACTTTCCTTTTTTCTTCATTATGTTGAGTTTTAGACATGTACTTTGCTTCTACTCTATTGGTATTCATCATTGTAGATGCCATCATAACTCTGGAATCTGTAGCCATTATATAAGAAATACACTGACCCTTAAAAACTTTTACTTTCTGATATTAAGTGGATATACATTAAAATAAGACCTGTTTTACCACTTCAAAAAGTTTTCAATGTCTTTCCATGACAGTGATTGGATTTAATAGTAAAATTACTTATTTTGACAAAAGCGACATTTTTAAAAAATGGATAAATTACAAAAGGCTTTTTTTCTCTGACTCTTTTATAGGTGATGCAGAAGATGGGGAAGAATATGAAGACCCTTTTTCTGGGCCACCAGATACTATTTCATTAGCTTCAGAAAGATATGATAAAGATGATGAAGCCCCCTCTGATGGTATGTGACATTTTCCTATAGAATAGAACCTCTTGACACTTTAACATAAAACAATGCAATGCACAGAGGTGGTAGTCTTGTCAGAAAACAGATAAATATAGAGGCTTCAGTTACCTTACCTTTACCAGAACCTTTTAAGGAACAGAAGAGCTCTCTCTAGTGGTTTTCCAAAGTATGTAGTTCCATCTTTTCCTAGGAAATTTTCTTTACTAAAATTTTTAGGAGTGTGCTTGCATCATTGTATGAATAGTATTAGTAAGTTTGTTGGTTAATTTGATATTATCAGATTCTTGCTTAATTTTATTGTGCTGCTTAATGACTTGTTGTATTATTTATTTTATAAATAATGAAAAAGGTTTTTGATCTCTTTTTTCCTGAAAACTTCATATAAAATGAGTTCATAAAATATTAAATTAATAATTTCTACATTGTACTTTTCACATTGAGGGCTTCATCAAATACTTCTTTTAATCCACATTTTCATTTTTCTGATTGTCACCTAAAAATGCCCCACATTATGAAGTAACATTATAGTGTTTTGTATTTAATTGAATTAGTAATAGAATTGACTGTATATCTCAGTTATTTTTAATAACTTGCTAAAGTTTGAAACTTATTTTTTGTATTTCATGTACTTTCTCTTAGAGTCAGTTGAGTGTATCTGCATTATAGAGACCTTATGAGGGTGAAATATAGTTATAAATTAAAAATGTGTATCGATAAATTAGCCATGCATATTAATTTGTGGTACTCAAAGTTTCACATAGGCATAGAAATGAATAATGTCTTCTGTCACTATATGATGATCAAACTGTGCAGTTCCATCTCTAAATACAATTGCTGAATGAAAATATGCTTCCTGCAACAGAGCACTCCACATTTTATGTTATCCAGATTATTCCCTTTGGAAACATAAATTGCTTTTATGAGGTATAAAATTATGTCTATTGCAGAACAGGGATAAGTCAAGTACATGCATAAGTGATAAACATTCTAACCACTGATTCAGAACAACACAGTCTTTTTTTTATATTCAGAACTTTATACAATGTGTAGCAATAATAATCATATCCATTTATGTTGAATTACATATTTTGGCAAATACTTAATTTCTATTTTTAGTGTAAAGGATTTTTCTCATATGCTTTCCCTATTTTTTAAAAAAAGATACACATTTCTCTTTAGATTTATGTGAAGCAGAATGTTACCTTTCTTAACCTGATTTTCAAAAGCTTCTAGAAAATGTTTTATAATGGATGAAATATTTTTAGGTGAAATAATGATCATTTGAGTTAATTATTTTTCAGACACTTAATGATTTGTTTGCTTCCATATTGGTAGGTAGGAATAAGTACGTGTGAATGTCTAAAAATACAAAATGGTGTTTGTATACACAAGAGAATAAAAATGTACATAAATATACAAATACACACACACATACACATACGGTATATGTGGAATAACTGCTCAGTTTCTCAAAGTGAAATAAATATTTTGATGTACAAAGGAGTATCCTTAAAAAAATTGTAGCCTGAGTAATTAAATCACTAGATATCTATGAGAGCCAGTGATTTTTTTCAAAAAGTGAAGTGAATTAAATTATAATACTTTTACATGATTATTGTTTTTTATGAGTAATTTATCATGTTTGTTTTTATAACCAAATATATAGGAAATATAGTCATAGCATAAAAATTTATTATTGTTAAAAGGTTACTTTGTTAAAATTTGATAATTTACATATAATATTAAAATTTTGTTAAATATTGGTAGAGTTCCATTACAGCTTGTATAAGCAGTTCTTAACTTTTAGTATTATTGATTTCTTATGTACAAATAATACCATTTTGATGGTTTTATATTTTCTTTTAATAATATTATAAATTAATTGTGAAACTACCTTTTGAAGTTCTAATTTCCAGTGTGAAATATTGTTTAGTCACACTGTTTTTTTTTCCCTGTTACTTAGATTGTATATGCTCTCTTTCCTTTGCTGAATAAATTTTCCTTCACTATGTGACCTTAGTCTGATGATATATTAATTATAAAAAGATAATGCATTTAACAATAAGTCTAACTAAATTAGTACAGGTCACCAAAAGGCCCTTTGTCAAATTGGGTTGTTGTTTTGTCCTTTTGACTTTTACCTTATGGTAGGCACTAACAAAATATCTGAACTTTGATAGATTATAAGCTCTAAACCATGATACGTATTTTTCATAATGCTAATGTAATTTTCAAGGTACTGAAGAGGTCAAACTTGCACATCTCTGTGTGCATTCTAAGGCTGTCTTTTCCTTTAATATTTCTTTTTCTCTGTTCCTCTGGTTCAAAAGTTCACTCAGTTCCCAAATGGCTACCTAATTTTCCAGTTATTCCCTCAAGCCATATGTGTTTTGGTTTCTTTATGGTTTATTAGGTACTGTAGGAAAGTAGCATAAGTTATATCTTCTAATGAAATTCAAGCTCACTTCAGTGATGCTTCGACTTGATTGCTGGTAGCAATTAAATCACCGCCAAGGAGAATAATGCATAATCTCACAAGGTCCAGGCACCCTATAGAAATTAAAAGGGGATGAAAACAGAAAACAAAAACTAAGTCTCCAAACTCTGCCAGACATGCTGTTTCCAGCCTGCCCCCTTTTTTTTTTTTATTGGCCAACTGCCTGATTGATAGCAAAATCATAACTTGCTGCATGCTAACAGGCAGAGTTCACTTGTAGGTTATTGTGAGCTGATAAAGGGTTAGATGGAGTTTTGATTTTCGCTTTGGACCTTGGTACACCAGATTAATGGAATTTCAATGAGAGACTAGAGTAGCCACAGCTTTGTCAGAGAAACAGATGGAGATTCTATAGTCATGTCTACTCATTAATACTAGGCCCCTGAAAGGTGTGCTGCTTCTCTATACAAAAGAGTGGATATAATTGATTTTTGAGTGCTGCATTAAAAAAAGGTATCTTATTGATGACTAGAATTGTAACATATTTGGTGACAGACTTTTGTGTAGCTTATAGCATAAAAATACTGTACTGTGATTTTTTTCTTCTCTCTTTAGAAATACTTCTTGTGGCTTTTTTTTTTTAGTGGAAATACATTTTAAGACAATAGTAAAAAAGAAAAAATGATAAGGAGTCTGTTTTATTTACATGTGATTATATGATTATATTAATTTAATTTTGATATGGTAATATTTATAAAAATAATCCTTATTAGAAATCTCATTTTATTAGCTTTGTCCTCTCATTTTTTTTCTGGAAAATGTCCAAGAAATCATAATGGTTTCTAGACTATTGTAGATCATTGTTAGAAATTTTATGTTATTGTATGGCTGGATATATTGAAGTATTCATATAAGTGGTATGTGTCAGTAATAAAATTAGAGATAATGAAAGTCAATACCTTAAAGAAGGATCTCCCTGAAACACATGATAGAATGTATGTTTGGGGACTAAAGTGGTAGACACAGGGTAGCCTTTAGATACAATGTAATGACTAGAGTTTCCATTTTTCTATTCTGAAATTATTTTTCATTCATTTTCATCATTTGCTAAGCATATAGCATTGTGGAAAGTCCCTGAGGTAAGGTGAAAGGAGTCAGTGAGCTAGAAGACATATATCGGCTCTGCCCGTCAATGATAGGTCGAAGGATCCCAGTGGACATATGTTACAAATCTGATTCAGTCCTAGACCGTAATCACTTTGTGGATAAGAATCTGGAACCTCTAGGGTGTGAATATAGCAGGGTTGAAATGAAGATAAAGATATAAAATAGTCATTTGTTGTCTTGGTATCTTCCTAGCTAAAAGTTCCCAAGGTTACTTAAAACTGTGGAATGTATAAGAACATACTTTTATATGAAAAAATAATGGTTTAGGTGTGGAATTATTTTTTAAAGTTTGAGGATTAAAAAAAAGGTCCCTCTGTTTTGAGCATAATTTATAATAGTAAATAATGATCTTTTTGGATATACTTTCCTTAGGAAAATTCAGTGTATGAGAATTTGTATTTGTAAAACTCAGAAATTGCTTATTTTAAAGGATTGCTTTTAAAAGGATTATCTCTAGGATGCCTGTAAATAATGACTTCTCACAGTGCATCTAAACAGATAGAAAGCCACTCTCATGTATATACATATATTTAATGTATGTAAATTCTTATAATTTTCATATCAAACTTAAGAGGAAGATATTTGTTGTATAAAATTTGGTAAAGTACTAGTCTGTTCTTGGCAACAGCCAAGGAGTAGATGCTTTACTTTCTTTTGGATTCCAGTAAAATATGAAACAATGTTTAAAATTATGGAAAAATATTCTTTCAGTAACTAACCATTTAAGAACATGTTTTCTATCATAACGGTTTTGATAGTATGTTTGTGTCTTGGTATCTTGTAGCTTTTGATAGATGAATTGCATTTCAGTATTTTATTCACCAAATTGAGGTTAGCTTGCAACTGCATACACCTTTGTTTACATAACATGTATTATTGTTGCACTGGTATGGTTTTATTTTGTTTTACCTCTCTTTAGTTGTTTCAGTGTATCCCATTGCTAGTTTGTATGTGTTGTAGCAGTGAGACAATAATGATTATTTTATTGCTTTCGTAATGTGTATCACAGCTTCAGGTACTTCAGTAGAATATTTCTGAGAAATGATAAAAAGTATAAGACAAATTTTTAACATTCAAGATACAGAAATTGGAGCTATAAAGCATAGAGATGTGACATATTTTTAGGATAATGTTGACCTCCAACAAATAAGCAGCCAGTTATTTCACCAGCAAAATGGGTTTATTCAGAAATATCAATAGTAAACAACTTAGTCAGTGTGATCTCATGCTAAGCCAGTGCCTTCTTCCCTAAAACAAAAGAAGAAAGAATTTAGAGGGTGGCGGTGACGGAAGAGTCCATTGGAGGAACCAGGGAATTCAGAGTGTAGTAGCTTTTCATTTGCTGGACTGTGGCAGTCTCCTGTTGACTGAACTGTTGCTGGGGAAAAAG